CTTCATCTTCACAATGTCAAGCTATTACCAACTTCATCCTCACAATGTCAAGCTATTACAAACTTCATCTTCACAATGTCAAGCTATTATAAACTTCATCTTCACAATGTCAAGCTATTATAAACTTCATTTTCACAATGTCAAGCTATTATAAACTTAGTCTTATACCTTGACTGTAATAGCCAGCCACCTTTCTTGTTTCACAGAGGTTTAATAATGAAGCTATTAGATTGGATTGTATGCAAGTAAATACAGCCAATCAAAGGCCTTGACAGACAGAATGTAAATATTATGGCCTTATGTTTACAGACTTTCTGTAGAGGCCACTGATTGGCTGTATTCACTAGTGTATTATACAATCAAATCATTGAACTTCCGTGATACAAGAAATTCAGCTATTGCAGTCAAGGTATAAGACAAGGGTAACTAAGAGGAGAAATAATATTTTACCAGTAGTAAAATCTGTCAAACAAGTCACCACTTTAAATGACGTTCAGTTTGTGTTTGGTTTGAAAGTTGGTACTTAGTAATATATACGTTTCTATAGATTTGATAAATATAAAATACTCCTATCAAGATACGTATTGAATCTCAGCTTTAAGATGGAATCTCAGAACCTGATTAGATTGGGAAGGTTGGTTGATTATCACTGACTCTACAGATTTAATAAAAAATATATTCTAATAAAAACATTTTGTACATCGTAAAGAGAATTATAGAAGTATATGTGACATGGATTTGAAGTTGAAATTAAGTTTATTAGATTAGAGTTTAGTTTTTTAACTGTCCAGAGATTGAGTATTTATGACCACCATGACTTGTTAGAATTGATACAATTATCAGAATATATTCAGTATTATAATTAAGCAAGATTTTAGGCAAGATAAAGACTACATGTAAAGATTTTTAACTGTCCAGAGATTGAGTATTAATGACCACCATGACTTTGGTTTATTATTAAACAATGGTTTATTTATCAAAATATTTTTATTTCAGTTTCAAATCACATCCAAATTAATCACCTTTCATTCAAAGACTCTTCAATTGCGAACTAATTACTGAACATATCATTTGAAATACAGGTCTAGAATGGAAATACTTCATTGAGAAATTGAAAAGTTGTGGTCTAGATAGTCTAGTTAGTTTTCTAGGATATCCTAGAATCAATGTTAGAAGATAAGAACCTAGGACATTCTAGAATCAATGTTAGAAGATAAGAACCTAGGATATCCTAGAATCAATGTTAGAAGATAAGAACCTAGCATATCCTAGAATCAATGTTAGAAGATAAGAACCTAGGATATCCTAGAATCAATGTTAGAAGATAAGAACCTAGCATATCCTAGAATCAATGTTAGAAGATAAGAACCTAGGACATCCTAGAATCAATGTTAGAAGATAAGAACCTAGGATATCCTAGAATCAATGTTAGAAGATAAGAACCTAGGATATCCTAGAATCAATGTTAGAAGATAAGAACCTAGGACATGCTAGAGCAAAGATCTTTTCGAGAATACATGGCAAGGTTATCATTTAAGTTCTTTTATTGGATCTGAAATAATACAAATTAAAATTAACCTCAAACTTTAGAACTGGTATAATTTTCCCTCTCCAGCTGGTGTATTGGTGATTATTAAGAACTATACAGGAGATAGACTGAATTTCGGTCTAGCCGTAGAGAGAGCGAAGAGTGAAGGAATGAAGGTAGAAATGGTGGTTGTAGGAGAAGATTGTGCCTTGACGTCCACAGATAAAACGGCTGGTAGACGAGGATTATGTGGAACTGTTTTAGTACATAAGGTAAGAATTGTGTTTAATATTGTTTTCAGTAGTATTTAGTAAGTTAGTGTTATGTGTTAGTATATAAGGTTGTTTTCAGTAGTATCTAGTAAGTTAGTAGTTATGTGTTAGTATATAAGGTTGTTTTCAGTAGTATTTAGTAAGTTAGTGTTATGTGTTAGTATATAAGGTTGTTTTCAGTAGTATTTAGTAAGTTAGTGTTATGTGTTAGTATATAAGGTTGTTTTCAGTAGTATCTAGTAAGTTAGTGTTATGTGTTAGTATATAAGGTTGTTTTCAGTAGTATTTAGTAAGTTAGTGTTATGTGTTAGTATATAAGGTTGTTTTCAGTAGTATCTAGTAAGTTAGTGTTATGTGTTAGTATATAAGGTTGTTTTCAGTAGTATTTAGTATGTTAGTGTTATGTGTTAGTATATAAGGTTGTTTTCAGTAGTATCTAGTAAGTTAGTGTTATGTGTTAGTATATAAGGTTGTTTTCAGTAGTATTTAGTAAGTTAGTGTTATGTGTTAGTATATAAGGTTGTTTTCAGTAGTATCTAGTAAGTTAGTGTTATGTGTTAGTATATAAGGTTATTTTCAGTAGTATTTAGTAAGTTAGTGTTATGTGTTAGTATATAAGGTTGTTTTCAGTAGTATTTAGTATGTTAGTGTTAT